GTGTGTGTGTGTGTGTGTGTGTGTGTGTGTGTGTGTGTGTGTGGTGTTCCCTCCTCTCCCTGCTCATGTTCCTGCAGTTCCCATTGCCTGAGAGGCCAGATGGGTTTAGGAGGGGCCACGGGAAGAGGACCTGTGGGTTAGGTGCGTCTGTGGAGGAGGCAAGAGAAGGTCATGTTTACCCTGGCAGTCAGTCTACTGAGTGGAAATGAGCCGCTTCAAAGGACCAGGGGCCGCCTGTAGCCGGCTCTGACCACGTGGGTTTCAGCTCCTGACAGCTGTAGTCATTTCATTGTAAATGACCAGTCACCAGAGACTGGTTTCAACTATTAACAGGAAGAAGATGCTGTAATGGGCTAGTGCGTTCTATGGCAAGCCACGCTTCCGTGTTTTCCCTGTATGGAAACCTGGCACCTCACTCAGGTTTCCTAGAAGGTGCCGTGAGCAATGTGCTCCCACAAGAGCTCATCAGTGACCCAGCGATTCTGTCCCCCGACACATCTGGACCAGGGCAGAGCCCCACCCTCGCTCCAAGAGATGACTTTATTCTTGTTGTTGTTTTAAGTGCTTTTTGTGACCAGTAGCTGCTCCTCGTTTTCCAGGGGTTCGGGAAGATGGAGATAAGAGATTCTGAATGTGGAAAGTCCAGCAAAGCAGTCCCTGCCATTGAGTGGCTTCTGGCTCATCGCCGCCCCTCGGACAGGGCAGAGCTGCCCCTGCGGGTCTCCAAGACAGCAACTCCTTACGGGAGTAGAAAGCCTCATTTTGTTCCCTTAGAGCAGCTGGTGGGTGCGAACTGCTGACCTGCCAGTTAAGCAGACCAACTCATCACCCACAACCCTACCAGGGCTTTGTGACTGTGAAGGAGGATACAAACTCATTGGCCTGCAGTTGAAAATACTCCAGCTCTGCCCCACCCCTGGGGTTCATTTCTGCACCCCTGAAGCTTGACACGCCTGCTCAGCTCATCCTTCCTTCCTGCTCGTCTGCTCATTCCGCATCTCACACGGCCCCTACCCAAGAGTCTACGCGCACCAAGCCCAGTCCCACCAGACCAGTTAGCGGTCTGCATACGATTCACAGTTTCTTACCTTTGCACCTCTCTTAAGATGCCCCCGCCACCCGGAAGGGCCCGATCTGAAGCAAAATCCTACCCATCTTTTACCTTCCTATTCCCATCCCAGCTCCACCACAAAGCGTTCCGAATCTCTCCATGGACAGGCATGGCTCTTTCTGACCTCCCAAGTGCTTTCTGTTGAAAAGTTAACAGCACTGACAAGTTCAGCAAGTGGTGCAGAGAACACACATCCCCTCCCATTTAGATTCTACACATAACACTTGGCTGTGTTTGCTTTATCACATCGCCACCCACGTGTTTCACGGTGCACCGTACTCCTGGGCGTTTCAGTGTGCATATCCGTAACTGGGCTCTGTATTTAGTCAAAGTAAGCTTTGTGGGCAGTGAAATGCACACATCTGCAATGTGCTGGTGGTGGCTCTGGTCACAGCTACTCCTTTAGAGCAAACATCCCCATAGAGTTAGAGCTTTCCCTTCCCACCAGACCCTTCTTCACACCCCTCCCATCAAGCCCCACCCCTCCTCTCAGATGCAGTCATGACATTAACTACTTTCTGTTGGTCTAGAACTGCCCTAGTTTTGCCATTGTACTTGAAAGACAAGTTTATTGGACACATAATCATGGTTGGCAATGTTGCATTCAGAGTTTTATGTCTGCCACTCCGTTGCCTTCTTGCCTGTACGGTTTCTGCAGGGTAGTCAGAGCCTTTCTTGTTCTCCGTTGTAGGTGAGGTTTTGTTTTGCGTTATTTTAAGCCACTTGGGAGATTGTTTCCTTGTCTTTTGTTTTAGCCAACTTGATTATGATATGTCATGGTAACTTTTTTGGAGGGGAGGTCTATCTTGCACAAGGTTACACTGAGTTTCTTGGTTAGATTTTTATCTCATCTTTCATGATATTAGTTAAATTTTCTGCCAGCAGGTATCCAACAGGTGTGTGTGTGTGTGTGTGTGTGTGCGTGCGTGCGTGCAGTTGTTTTTGCTTCCTCGTTTTGGAATTCCAATCACATGTAATTTTTTCCTCCTGATTAAAAAAAGAAGCTAGACTCCTATCGAGCCAATGCCGACTCACAGTGACCCTACAGGACAGGGTAGAACTGCCCCTGTGGGTTTCCAAGACTGGGACTCTTTACAGGAGCAGAAAACCTCAACTTTCTCCTGCAGAGCCGCTGTTGGTTGTGAACTACTGACCTTGCAGTTAGCAACCTGACACGTGACCACTGCACCACCAGGGCACCACTGCCTCTTGATAATGTCCCAGATAAGCAGTAAGCTTTAAATAAATTTTTTTTCTTAAATTTTCCTCAAATTAATGTCAAAGGATTTATTCTTTGTCCCACTCTTATCTGTTTTCTGTGGATTTGACTGTGCTCCGTTACCCTTCTGTTGGGTTGTCTACTTTTGGTTGGGGGGGGGCTCAGTATTTGGATCTCTAGTTGTTGTACCTGTGTGGTTCTGGTACTTTGGTTTGTTACGATATTGTTCACCTCAGTCTTTCTACAGCTCTGCATTCTCCTTGCTCTCTCTTTGATCTTGCAGAGACCCCATAAGCCCATCGTTTTAATTCCGTGTTAGGTGGTCTGTTTCTTCCTCTGGAACTTCTCCGGTTCTTTACTGTGGTCAGTTGCTGCAACTGTCATGTCCTGCTTTTTGTGACCCAGTATTGTCTTGTTTCCAAGGCACTGAGATGTTATAATTATTTATTTGTTGCGATTATTGCTTATTTTGCCCTGGATTTTTGTTTTGTTTAGATATACCTGAGGAGGGGTGGGGATGGGGCTACTCTAGTTGCCAGTCTGGTCACACGAGGGCCGTCACAGCTGTCTGTGGGTGGGTGGGTGGCGCAGAGGCTGGCATGTAGGGGCAGGTCCTGTGACTAGTCTTGTGGGGCAGCTGAGGATGTAGCTACTATTGCTGGTGAGGTGCTGTGCCTGTCCAGCCAGTAGGAGTGCGAGGGTTGCTGGCTTGGGTGTTGGGTGCGACCAGGTGCCTGGTTGTACATCACTGGGTTGGTGGTACAGAAGGTCTTACCAATGATCCCAAATGGGCAGGGCTGCACGGAGCTGATGGAAGAAAGACAGTCACAGTGTTGGGGACAGTGTGGGGAGTAAGGTGAGAATGTGACATGGGGGAGGGTGTGTGGAAGGTCCTCTGGCACCCAGCACAGGTGGCTGGAGGAGTAAGGAGGTGCCGGTGGTCTGCAGCTCCCCTCCCCCCACGTGGATGTAGGAGTGGGCCCTTCCAGCTGAGGGCTTACAGCACCACTGGCTGAGTAGGCCAGTGAGCCCCTGGTGCAGGCCACTGTGTATGGCAGTGGACCACACAGATCTGTGGGTACGCAGCAGGAGTGGCCACTGAAGGAGTGGGCATTGCCAGTCTATAGAGGCCTGGCTCCAGGGGCAGGGTGTGGTGAGTGCTGCTGGACCAGTGTCATGTGTAGCGGAGTCAGGAATGGACCAAGGGGAGGGACCACAGGTCCCTGGGCCTTTGGCACAGGGTCCGAGAAGGACGTGGGGAGTTTACTGCACGTAACTTTCAGAGAGCACGGCACATTCCCACCCAGTTCTCAACCTGGGGGCAGAGTCTCTCCTGTGCGGCTGCCCCAGGTGACAAGGCTGAACTGACAACTCGGCTGGCGTGTCCCACTGTGGCTGCCCTGTGCGGGGTTAGCAGACAGGCCCCCACAGGCCGTACTCTTGTGGTTTGTACATCCCCTCCCACTTGGCACTCTCGTCGTTTTCGGCCTTGCCTCTGATGCTCGGTGTCCCAAAGCTTCTATCCCAGCCACCCGCTTTCTTGGCCTTTCTTGTAAGAGGAATGTGAGGCGGCATCGGGCTGTGCCACCATCTTGGATCCCCGCCTCAATTCTTAGAGTGTCGGACGCCCCCCATAGCTTTCCCTGTGCCTCCCACTTTGACCTTTACTGCCACCCTCCTCCTTCGGTGTGGGAGAAAGAGGAGGTTTTCTCTCTCCGTAAAGAGCCACGGTCTCGTCAACCCACAGGGGCAGTTCTCCCCTGTCCTGTAGAGTCACTGAGGCGGCATTAACTGGATGGCGGTGCATGTGGATCGCCTGCTAGACAATGATGGTTTAAGTAATACACCGGTATTGAGTTGAAAGAATCAGGAGTTCTTCTACAAGATAAGAAAATCTGGAGCAGTGGAAATAATGTAATTATACTGGTAGATTTCCGCAAAGGAAATTAATCAATACCTGACTGTACACAACTTATGCACAAAACCAGGTAATAAAACCTGATGGAAAATTCAAGTAAGCTTGGGCTAATCATTCTCTATGCTAATTAAATTGCTTAGCTAGAAAAAAATACATGCATGGAAGCCATAATTAGCTTCCGAACCCAGGCAGCACATAGGACTGCATGAAACGTCTTCCCAGTCAGGTTAGAGCACCAGACTCTTGTAGGATGGAGCCAGAATGGCCCTGTGTGGGGATGTGTGACCCTCTGTGTCCGTCTTCGCTGTGTGCCTGGGAGCGTGCCAGCTGAACTCTCTTTGCTTACAGGTATGCTTCAGAAGCGCCCTTCCATCGACGACTTCGTAAGTGCCCTGGTTTCTGACTTGGACCCGGACTTTGAAACGTTCTTCATGGATTCTGAATAGTGGAATACTCCCGAACATTTTCAACCAAGGTCACGTAGATAGTGCTACCGCTGTGAAAACGTGTTTCTGATTTCACGAACCACTTCTGTAAAAAAAAAGCCCTTAAGAAGCCCTAAGCTGGTTGAACTTTGAATAAAGAATGCGTTTTACGGTGCTGGCGTCTGGCCTGCTTGGCAAAGCTGTGGGCACTGGGACTGTTCCCTGGAGAAGGGAAGCTGCACGGGGCAGAGAGTGGGTCCTCAGGGGGCATGGCCGCCCCCTTCCTGCGTCACTGGCTCACTGAGCCGCCCCTCTGCCCATGACCTTTAATTGGTTCACTCGGCCACTTCACTATAAAAGCACAGCTATTTCAGTTTTCAGCTCGATTTGAAGCAGCCTTCAGAGCGCCTGCATGTACAGGTCTTCTGACTGACTGCCGTTTCTTAGCACCGCTCTGCTAGCCTTTGACGAGGCCGTTTGGTCCTTATCCCGAACCCAGACCGACAGCACCACATGGTTGCACAGCCTGCCCTAGTAAGAGACCAATTATTAGCTGTATTTTTCCCCACCACTAAAGTGGATGGAATTACAGACTGTCCGTTTAAAATGGCAATTGCTGCCACCCCTTCGTGCGCCTCCCTAAAGGACCATTGGTGATGGAAAAAGATGATCATCCCCACCCCCCACCCCATAGGTCTCACTTTCAACCTATGAACAGAAGCAGGAGGAATCTCTACAAGCCGAGAAGCACCTGAGACTAGATGGAGACCCCCCCCACCTCCACAGAGACCCATCCACCTCCTGAATGCAAGGGGTGTGCCCCCCTCCTCCCCCCACCTCCTGCTCCCGTTTAGAGACTCTGGTCAGAAGCCGGTGCTGAGCAGCTGGAGGCCACCACACGTGACCCCTTTCCCAGCTCCTCTAGAAGGTGGCACTCCGCCAACATGTGAGAACTGCCACTCCCAGAAAGCACTTGAGTAGGAAGTAAGGCAAGACAGTGCTCAAAAGCAAAAGCTCGCAACACGGGGCAGGGCTGGGGGATGCCAGGGGGGCTGGCAGCTGGACGAGACCAGTGGGGAACTGAGCAGTTGATGGGTCACATCCTATTGAGTCATGGGGTCTAGCTAGGCCATGGGGGCTGAGAAGTGGGGGAGTCTGGCAGATGGGCACTGTACCAGTGCCATTCCGCTGTGGGAAGTGAATGCCGAGGAATTTACATCCACCAACCTGTTTGTTCGAGGAAAGCAGAGCAGGTGCTTTAGCCGGGCCCGGTGCACAGCCAGCAACAAGTGTCCGATGCGCTTGCCCTCGGGTTTCAGAGCAGGGGCTGTGACTCCACACGCCCAGATCTTTGTTTGTTGCGTGGCCAAGTCCTGGCTGCAAGCTGCACACGCAGATGCAGGCATTTAGCACAATGCTTTTTTGATTTGTGAACATTTGGGGGAATGTGTGTGTGTGTGGGGGGGGGGTGCTTTTTACATGATCTCGGCATCCAGTGTAAGGCTATTTTCCCATTTCTTTACCAAGCATCTGGGAGAAAGGACTGTTCACTGAGTTCTTGGAATACGGGGTGTGGTTTGCCAGATGGTTCGGCGCCGGCAGAAAGCACCCAGCTCTGCCACGGAAGCCCTCCTGCACCTCAGAGAGCTCAGCTTGGAGCTTCTTCGCACAGAAACAAAAGCTTCAAGTCAGTGTGTCAAAACGTGCCTTGTTCACATTGTAAGCACTCAAAAAACAAACAAAACACCCCAAATTCACTGCCATTGAGTTGATTCTAACCCGTAGCAGCCCTGTAGGACAGGTTGAACTGCCTCTGGGTCTGTGACTGTAACTCATTAAAGGGATAGAAAGCCTGGCTTTTCTCCCATCAAGCGCCTGGTGGCTTTGAACTGTTGACCCTTCAGTTACAGCCCAATGCAGAACCACCACACTTGTAAGGAGGGCTGAGTTCATTTAAAGCAGTTTTGATGTAAATCTATTTAGTAAAAATGGTAAATCATATGTGTCTCTCTTTAGATTTTCCCCCCTAGACTGGGACTTCAGTGAAGTGAGCTGCCTGCTCCCGTAAGGATTTACAGTCCTGGAATCTCACCGGGACAGCTTTCCTCCAGCCTGTGGGGTCTCCGCTGATCCGGGACAGCTTTCCTCCAGCCTGTGGGGTCTCCGCTGATCCGGGACAGCTTTCCTCCAGCCTGTGGGGTCTCCGCTGATCCACTGCCTTTGTGTCGAATCTGACTCAGGGCGAGGCTGTGGGACAGAGGAGCATGCCTTGTCCTTCGTCCTTCAGACCTCCCGGGAAGCTCACCGCCTCACCTTTTGCCTGTAGCGTGGCTGGTGGGTTTGAACCGCAGAACTTTACATTAACAGCTTTGTGCTTCACTACTGTGCCACCCCACCAGAGCCCACTGCCCTCCACTCAATACCAACTCATAGTAACCCTCTGGGACAGAGTTGAACTGCTCCATCGGCTTACTGAGGCTCTTTACGTCTCCAGAGGAGCAGACTGCCTCTCTGTTCTCCCGTGCAGCGACTGGTGGGTTTGAACCACTTACCTTGAAGTTACACCCCAATGTTTAATCCACTGCCCCATCAGGGTTCCTTTTCTAAAGAAACCCTTGCAGTAGGGGTAGTGCATGCAGAAGAGCACTGAGCCCAAGCCCCAGGGTCTTTGGAATGCAGGGCGCCCTGAGAGTTGCATTTCACCCCTGCCCACCTTGAGTTTAAAAGACTAGGAGACCCCACCGCCACCGGAGAGACAAGACTTGGGGTGGAGAGAACAGAGAACAGTGGGAGGGCACCAATGCAACTGTGCTCTAGGAAGGGTTGCTGGGGGAGATTACAGGTTAGCTGGTCAACGGCCCAGCGTAGCACAATGTGTTTCTAATAACAGCGTAATCGTCTACAGCCCGCCTATGAAACACACCCGCCCCGGGCAGCAGATGGCTCACTCTGGGCAAGCCTGGGACTCCCTGTGTGTCCTCAGCGCCTCTTTCCTTCCTGTGTTTGAAATTTAGAAGCGAGAAAACGGGCAAGCCAGAACAATGTGAAAATCCAGCACACACACCCACCCCCAAGCTTTCTGAGAGAGGAATGGGGGCGTGCAGGAGAAGAGACTGACCTCTGTGGGTCAGCCGTTCGGGTTTAACCCCAAACAGGATGTTAGAGTACCTCGCAGGCCCTAAAACCCTCTGCCATTGAGTTGATTCTGACTCTCAGTCTTCACAGGAGCAGCAGCCTCGTCTTTCTCCCCTGGAGCAGCTAGAAGGTTTGAACCAGAGATGCCGTGGTCAGCGGTTCAACATTTATGAGACGTCAAACTCACTGCCAACCCTATAGGACAGGGTAGAACTGCCTGTGAGTTTCCGGGGCTGTCACTGTTTACGGGAGTAGAAAGCCCAGCTTCCTCCCCGGGGGTGGCTGGCGCTTTCAAACTGATTACCTTTGGGGTCTCAGCCCAATGTATAACCACTACGCCACCAGGGCTCCACGAAACACTCAAGGCCCAGGGAATGTCTTCATGGCTCTGTTAACTCGGCTCAAGCGCAGGTCCTTGTTCAAGGTCTTTTCCACCCGGTGGAGGTGAGGAGGGAACATACAGCAAGGGAAGCCCCTGGGGTCCACTAAAAAGGTGTGGGCGGGGCACACCATGCATGACACCTAGTGCGTGTCTAGATGAGGGCACTTTCGGAAGGTTCATGAGAAGATCCCACTCTCTTACCATGCCAGTTTTCTTTTTTAATAGTTTTATTGGCATATGCTTCACCTATCATTTAAGTCCTATTAAGAGTTGTACAACCAACCAATTTCATCAAATTTTCTCTTACTCATTGTTGGCTCTCTATTTCCCCCCAGCCTTCCCTGCCATGTCCCTGGGTAGTTATTAATCCAGTTACAATCTCTATAGATCTACCTCAATTCATATAACAAAAATCATTCCGAACAAAAACAGGAAGCAAATGAGCTCAACAACAATGACTAGACAAAACAGAAAAACGTCAATCAAAAAAAAATATTCAAAACTGAAATGACTTTAAAAACAGGTCAAAAGGGATATCACATGGTGAAACTACATTTTAACATAATTATATCTGCCATGATCGGCTTTACATTTGGAGCTGTCTGATAGCAAAACTATTCACATTTCCCAAATGCGGCCAGAGGGAATTCGCTGGAGGTTTACAAATGGATTTGGGACTTCCACTGTCTTTCATAGCCTTCTGCAAATCAGGTGCTCAAAGTGTAAGTTCTGATACCATTCTCTCCTTTGTATTTGGATTTTATTATTTACAATCCGTAAATCACACAGGCTGGTGCACATGTGAATTTAGTTGACGCCTCACGTAGCTGGCTGCTTGCTTTAAGACAAGCCTTTAAGACCCCAGACACTATTCATTCTGGTAGCTGCACAATATCTAGTTTGTTCCTCACACTTTGTTTTAGTGCCTGTATCTTCAGTGATCTCTTCATGAGGCATGGAGTAGGGTCATGTCATAAGAACTCACTGTTCTTAGTTCGGGGCTAGTCATCATTCCAATTTTCCATGGGTTTTGGAAGCCCCCTCATATTCTCTTTATACGAGCTGGTGGACAGAGGCTTAAGGTAGGTCCAGTGTCTGAGGGCATCATTTGCTTATCACTTACTGCACGCTGGTTCTGCAGATACAGAGATGACTGAAACACGCCCTGGCGCTCAACTTGCCAGCAGGTCAGTGGGTGCTTTGGAACGGAGGGGATTTTAGGGTGACGCTGCCAGCCAAAGCAGGATTTTAAGAGGAACTTGGTCTTCCGGAAAATCTTGAGGTGAATCTTAGGTGAGAACTTGGAACGAGCTGAGAAGGAGGCTCAGTGGAGCGAGCTGACCAGCATGCCTACGTCGATGTTGGAGTAAGAAATGCCAGCCCTACGAGAGGAAGATTCCTCCTACAAACGATTCCTAATCAGAGTGTGATCGCGCCCGGCAGAACCAGGAAGACCTGAGACAAGGCAGGTGATCGTGTATTCATTTATCCTACAAAACAAAAGAAGCTAATCTGGTTATATTAAAGTTTTAATAGAGCAACCCCAATGTCAATGTCTAAGGATACTTGGGGTTCAAGTAAACCTGTTTGTTGTTGTTCGGTACTGTTGGTTCCAACCCATAGTGACCTCTGTACAACAGAATGAAACGCCGTCCAGT